AGGGACAATAAAAGGCAGGAATTAACCCCCCTACTCTGCCCTCATGAGATGCCACCAGGACTGTTGCAATCCAGGCTGGATTCCTCAGCACAGGAATGACGTGGACATGTTGGAATGGGGCCAGAGGAAGCCATGAAGATGATCAGAGGGCTGCAGCTCCTCTGCTCTGGAGCCAGGCTGGGAGAGCTGGGAATGTCCAGCCTGGAGAAGGGAAGGATCCAGGGAGAACTTGAAGCTTCTTCTAGTGCTTAAAGGGGCTCCAGGAGAGCTGGAGAGGGACTGGGGACAAGGGATGGAGGGACAGGACACAGGGAATGGCTTCCCACTGCCAAAGTGCAGGGTTAGATGGGATATTGGGAAGGAATTCTTCTCTGTGATGGCGTAAAAGGCTGGAATGGAATTCCCAGAGAAGCTGCGGCTGCCCCTGGAATTGTTAGATAATAGACAATATATATAAATACATAATAATATTTGAATTAACATAATAAACCCAATAAAATAATTAAAAAAACCACAAAAATTCTCATGTCTCCTTCCAATGCAGCCACTCTGTGCCCAAAATATCCTCCCTTTCCAACAGGGGCTGCGGCTCCAAGGACAAATCCCACCCCCACTCCCCGCAGGGTCACGGCAAAGTCAAGGATATTTATGAGCTATTGAAGGCAAAGACAATCCCTGCCCTTTATCCATCACAGGAAGACATTCCAAAGGCCTGGAGATGGCATGGATGGATTTATCCCTCCTGTATTCCATAGGCTCAGACTCGTGGCTGTCCTTTTGACCCAGCCCTGGGCTTTGAATCCCATCCAAGCACACAAAACCAGGAATAATATCCGTAATATCTGCAGAATCAGCCAAAGAGACTTTGCTTCCAAGTGTCTCTTTTTTATTAATTCCATTATATTTATTTTTTTTTATTAGAGTATAAGAAACAATAATGTGACATACACTTCACTGGTACTTACATGAATATATATTTAAAGGAATATATTTCTCCTGCTTATTCTGTTACAACGAAGGCAATACACAGTTACAAACCTCACACCTATGGATTAGTAAAACCAACACCTCAGTGGAACCACCTCAGTGAAACCAGATCGTCCAACAGAGCTGAAATAAAATTTATTTATTTATTTATTTATTTATTTATTTATTTAATTTTTTAGCAACGCTTCAGTGGCTTGTAAGATTTTTCCATTTCAGTTTGGATGAAACAGTAAGATTTGGGCTGGGGAAAAGAAAAAAAAAATTAGAAAGGAAAAAAAAAAAAAGAAAAGGCATTCCCTTGGAAAATGTTGGACCTGGGAAGCCTGTTGAGCTTTTTATTTCTCAGTTTTCACTATCAGAGCAAAGCTGGGCAAATTAAAACTTTCAATCCGTCTCCGATGTTGATGATTCTCTGCTTGGTGGGCAGTCATTTGCTTAAAGGCAGCTGTTCCTCCTCGATTCCTGAGGTTGGTTTGGGGCTTCAAAGCTCCTCGACCGAGCCTGGGAAGAACCAGCAGATGGCAGGACCAACCCAGGGCTTTCCCTTCCCTGGCCACCAGGGGACATTCCCAAAAAACGCCACACTGCGTTGTCTGCGATCCCATTCCAGCTCAGGATGGGGTCCTGAACCTCCACCTGTCCAGATGTGCAGCACATCTGCCTTTCCCAAAGGGCACAGATGCCCATAATTCATTCCCTGGACACACAGAGCCACCAGACTTCGTCACAGGAGTGATGGAAGCAAAGCCTCTTCCATGGAAAATAAGACCCCTGGGAGAGAAATCCCTTCAAAATAACCCACAATCAGAGTAAATCAACAGCAGGAAAGAACGTTCTTTGAGTAACCAGGTGGATCCTTGGAGTAATAATTAAACAACCACCTTCATTCCTTCTGGTCCTACAAAATTCCTCCACCTCTGGTTTTTCTTTCCCAAAAGAAGAAATTTTGCCCTTAAAAACAAACAAACAAACAAACAAACAACCCACAATTCTTTCAAAACACCGGGAAGAACTTGGGTCATTTTAAAGTCCTTCCCTTCGGCAAACACAAAATGCCTGGAATTTGGGTGGAAAAGGCTGATGCTACAATAAATTCTGAGCATTTTTTTTTTTTTTTGGACAATACACCAAGAAAAAAATAAAATGAGAGCCCTCGGTGGTAGCTGGTTGTTGAAACGCAGCCAATTTCCAGCAGGGAAGCGCTGAACCCCTTTCCTCTCACGCACATGCTCCAAAGTGGGCAGGTATTTCACTTCAGCCCTTCCTTCTTTTCCAGTAAAAACCACTCCAGGATATTTTAGGGAGCGAAGCTGCCTCCCCTCGTGCCCTCTTGTCCTGTCACAGAAGGGGAATATCCGAGTTCTCTGCTCGGATTTCCATCTCTTTAATTCCAAAGTCCACATAAAGACCTCCCAAAGCACTTCAAGGCTGTCCCACCACGGCCCTCAAGTTCCAAATCCAGCACTTGGTTCATCAACCCACAAGTTTCAACACTTTAAAATAGGGTTCTTCCTGTTTATCATCTTATTATTAATGTTTTTTAATCACTTCAGCTGCCCGTTTTCAGGCCTTTATTCCCCTCCTGGGTTTTACAACAGCTGAGGTTCTCACATGGATTTTCATTCTGGGGTTTTTGGGGGGCAATAAAACCCCCTCTGTGGCAGGAGCAGAAATTGGGAGGGTTGGAAGAACTGGTGATCAAATGCCGAGGATTAAACTGTGAGGAGCTGTCACACCCTCCCTCTCTAAAAGATACTTAAATCTGTCAAAGAGATCTTTGCACATGTGTTCAAAACTGAAAATATCTCTTTTTTTTTTTTTTTTCCATAAGGCTTATAGCACACGAGGAGGGAAGACAAAAAAAAGGGAGTAAAGAGGGAAAACAAATCTCCAAAATATGCAACTCATCCGTCATTTATAGCTCAAAAACACGACAGAATGACCTTCAACTCTGTCCCCCTGGCAATGCCTTTAATATAAATTGTTATTTTATGGGATAAGCAGCCTCGGAATGCTCCTCCCACCAGCCTTTGCTCCCTTTTGGAACCAAATCCTTGGCACCAGCAGCCTCTGGAACGCCGAGATAGGAAGGAAATGGCTTTTTTTTTTTTTTTTTTTTTGGAAGAGACAACCAGGTCTTGTGGCTTCAGGTTTGGCACCTGCAGGAGCCTCCTGAAGGCACGGCCAGGCTTTAGGATGCAGTTGGACGTTTAACTCTTTCCTAAAGATGGTTTGAGACCCCAAAATCAACGCCCAAACCTGTTTATCAGGTGGCCAGAAAAGAGTCACAGCCCCATCACCTCAAGGCAGAGCACTCTGGGTGCCACCTCGGTGTCCCAGCCCCATCCAAGGAGGTTTGGAACCCTCCTGGGAGGAAGGATGAGGGAACAACATTCACCTTAATTTTTAGGATAGTTTTCCCCCCTGATTTTTCCCTGTGCTCCACGTGCATGGCAGAGGTTTGGTGGGCCCAGGAAGTCCCAGGAGGTGAGGGAGGACGACTGAACCAGAGGAAGGCACATCTGAGGACCCACACAAGTGATTCACCCCTCCCAAACTCCTCATTAAGTGCAGGGCACGTCCTCACGACCGGTCCCTCCTGTCGGAAAGCCCGTCCTTAATTAACACGTGTCATTTTAATTAAAACACGGGGAAGGGGGGGAAGGAGGGGTTCAAAACCACCAAACCACTTCTTTTTGCTGCGAATATTTCTATACCATCATTCAAAAGCTGTTTATCAACGCTCATTAAAGTGGGGACAGAGAGAAAAACTGAACGGTGAGCGGAGCTTTAGGTCGGTTTTTGACACCAAGCAGGAGAACCACGAGGAAGGCATGGCCAAGCAGTGCCAACAACCTGATTTTTGCTGCTAGGAAGAATTAAAAAAAAAGCCCAGAGCACCTCTGCTCAAGCAGTGGAAGCGACAACAAGCTTTCACCTGGAAGTTTAAGGCTGGATTTTGGCTTGGTTTTTGCGTCTGGCAGGTCCACAGGCGAGCAGAGCAGGTGGGATGGATGACACGGAGATGGCAGGAGGACACATATCCCACGGGACAGCTCAGAACTTCCAGGAGCAACGCTGGGAAGATCCTGGGAGCTGAGAGACAGCAGGAATGATGAAGTCACCTCCAGGCAGTGCAGGTTGAGCCTCAAGATCTGAATATTGGGATCCTGGCCTGTGACTCCACTCAGTTTTGCAGACAGTTCTTTCAGGGATCCACGTTGTTGTCTCTCACCACCACAAGTCCAAAAGTTGGGGAAACTGAGGCACCAAGTCTTTGTAAGATGCAGATGAACTTCCAGAGGTCCTGCTCCCGCTGTGTCTGCTCCATTAGGGGTTGACTCAGCCCTCCAAAACTGGCATTTTTCACTAAAATTCACCTGGAAAAAGCAATTCCCGAGAGAGGCGAAACAAGCAGGCCCAGGGGTGTTTATCAGCAAGGACAGCAACAAGGGAGGAGAGAGATGGACTTGCTGCTCGGAGCTGAAGAGGAACGTTGAGATGAAGCTGCTCAGGAGAGTCGAGAGGCCCAAATGTTGGGATTTTCCATGAGAGAATTCCTAACCTCTGCCTGGAGCAAGGAAACACAGCACACATCCCACCGGAGGTAACAACAGGAGCGTGTTTATTCAGGCCTGGCACTTACAGAGCTGGCAAGGACAAGGTACAGGTCACTCTTTTTCTCTTTTTTTTTTTTTTTTTTTTTTTTTTTTTTTCCAGAAAAAGTCAGCCCAGGATTCGGAAGAAACGAAATTATTCTATAAAAAGAGGCTGCAGCTGCAAGGGGTGATGGTGGGGGTGGGGGGGAGGCGGCGGGAGGGCCAGGAATGTGTCTCCCTTTGGATCATGCATTCCCAAAGCCCCGTGCTGGAGCCAGGAGAGAGGCAGGAAAAGTCTGAGCTCTTCACCTGGTGGGGAGGTGTGTGGGGAGGGGTTAATCTTGGCGAGTCCCAGCCTGCTTTTTAACCAACCTTAGAAACGAGAGTGTGTGTGTGGGATGGGATGGGACGGGGGGGAGGTTATTTATTAGGTAGAAAAGCCGAAAAAAAACCCTTCCAAAACCATCCACCTTCGCCAAGGAGGCGCGAGGGCGCAGCGAGGGTTTGTCCACAGGAAGAAAAGAGAGAGAGATTGAGAGAGAGAGAGAGAGAGAGACAGGGAAAGAGAGACCAGCCCACGGCTCCGACGCTTGGAAGAGCAGAAAAGTCTGGGAAACCACGGCCTCAGGAGCCCGCTGGGAAGTGGAAGATCTCCTTGCAGACACCAAGAGAGGAGAACGGTGGCCAGCGAGACACCCACGGCTGGGGGGGAGCCTCGGGGAGGCGGCTCTTCCTCGGCCAACACCCCCCTCCCCGTCACTCCCGGGCCCGCAGGACGTAGAAGAGGCTGACGAGGATTCCCAGGGCCAGGAGGGTGGAACTGGCCCGGAGGCCGCTGGAACCGCTGATGTTGCACAGGAAGGAGTCGCAGCAGTACACGGAGGCGGCCGCGATGCCCAGGTTGATGCCGGCGCTGGGGCAGATGGGGGAGCAGCCCTTGGAGATGGACTGGCCGGATTTGCCACCTGGATTCGGGGGGAAAGGAGGGGGAAAAGGAAGGAAATAAGGTGGGTTAGAGGGTTTCCAAGATGGGTTTCGAGTGTTTGCTAGGCACAGGTTTCTAAAGACAAGATTAGGATGTTTCTAAAGACAGGTTTAGAGTATTTTCAAGACAGGTTTAGAGTGTTCCTAAAGACAAGATTAGAATGTTTCTAAAGACAGGTTTAGAGTGTTTGCAAGGCACAGGTTTAGAGTGTTTCCAAAGACAAGATTAGAATGTTTCTAAAGACAGGTTTAGACTGTTTTCAAGACAGGTTTAGAGTGTTTGCAAGGCACAGGTTTAGAGTGTTTCCAAAGGTTTAAAGTGTTTTTAAGACTAAGGTTTAAAGTGTTACCAAGACATAGGTTTTAGAGTGTTCTCAAGACACGGGTTTGGAGTGTTCCCAACACAGGTTTGGAGTGTTCCCAAAGACAAGGTTAGAATGTCTCTAAAGAACAGGTTTAAAGTGTTCCCAAGACACGGGTTTAGAGTGTTCCCAAGACAGGTTTTAAAGTGTTTCTAAAGACAAGATTCGAATGTTTCTAAGGACAGGTTTAGAGGTGTTTCCAAGACAGGTTTAGACTGCTTCCAAAAACTAAAGTTTAAAGTGTTCTGAAGACACAGGTTTAGAGTGTTCCCAAGACAGGTTTAAAGTGTTTCTAAAGGCAAGATTCGAATGTTTCTAAAGACAGGTTTAGAGTATTCCTAAGACAGGCTTAGAAAGAATCGTAAGTGTGTGAGGGCAAATTTTGCACTGGAAAAAAAAACATTTCAGATTTCTCTGCTGTAACTAAACACTGGATTTGGTTTAGCACAGATCTCTGCTGTAATTTTTCAGGTATCCTCAGCCATCTGTAGCCTCAGACCAATTAATAAAATGCCTTAAACAGAGTTATAAAGGCTCAAGTGTTCAGGTATGAATTTAACAATTATAAAGCAAAATTTTCCCACAAGAGCCCCCACAAATGTGCAACGGCAAAGTCAGAGCCTGATCAGGAGCTGAGGCTTTCAACTGAGGACAGAGGGGTTTGTGGTCTCATTAACTGTGTTTCTGTGCTCTGTGCCATCACTCGTGCAGGTAATGACACCCATTTATTCCAGTAGAGACTGGAGGGAGGACACAAACCCCTTTTGCTTCCTTTTTGTCCTTTCCTTGATGCTCATTTTGGGCTCTGACTTTACAAGCTTCCTGAGTGTTGCCCATGTGTGAGATGTGTAGTGGGCAAAGCTTGGCCTTTAGTTGTTATCGTGGCCTGGTTCACACAAAGTTCATCTAAAAGCTCTGCTGAGGAATCCCAAAAATCTCACTCCAGCTTCACCCTGGGACTCCTCAAGCGAGACAAGGAGCACTGGCTCTTCAAGGGAGGCACTTTGGGAGCCAAGTGTGCACTTCCAGAGAGGCACAGCCCAAACCAAGGGGCAGCGAAGAGGAAACCATCAGCACTGGGCTGAGATGGGAGTTTATCAGAGCTCCCAGGCATCCACAACCCACCTTCTCCTGCAAGGCCCAGCCAGGATGGGATCTTGGCTCTGCAAAGACCTCCCAGAGCATCCTGCTTCTCTCAGAGCAGCGGTTGGGAAACTCAGAGCCTCCCAAACCTTTCCCTGTCACTCGGGGCGGAAAAATGCCTCGACCACGGCAAGCGCAGGAGCCAAGGAGGGACTCGGGGATGAACAACCCAAACACAAAAGGATGGGGGGGGG